GTAGTGGTGAGATAGGTGAAGAACTCTGTGACCTTCAGGTGAGGGATGGTGACAAGCAACTGGCAACAGAGGAACCCTGCATGTGAGATCTCCTTCCTACACCTTTTTGGTGTCTGAAGACAGGATACAGAGATTCCTCTTCACTATGAGACCTATGCTCTTATCTTAATTTACATCCAAGCTGGTCCCCTTTGATCATGCTGGTTTTGAATCCCATCTCTTTGTCCAGCATTAGAATTTATTTTCTTCCCTCCCCCCCTTCCCCCATCATCCACCAGCCCATCATCCCAGGTTCCAGTCAGTTATTGTTAGTGACTGTCACTCATTTTCAACCTCCTTTTTTTTTTTTTTTTTTTGGCACAAATGCACTTTTTTCATGCTTTGGTTCTCCATCACTCTGCTTTTTTATCTGCTTTCACATTATAGGGTCACTTGTGCCGATTATAGGGTCGACTTGTGCCGATCCTCAGCACTGGGTCACCACTTGCTTTCCATTCATTCGTCAGTCACTGCAGGGATGTGGTGAAGCACCTGACAGTGGTGGTCACTGCTCTCTAGTAGAGATGAATGCCTCCTAAAGTGACTGGTAAGATACGCGCACTGGGTTGAATTGTAAATCATCATCATCTTCAGTTCACATCTTCTGACCTTTCTTCCCTGTCTTTGAACTTCTGTGCTTGTCAGTGAAACTGCAGCTGCCTGAGGACTTCATCAAGATAAGTTGTCCTGTTCTTGACCTGTCAGCTGCCCTTGACACCTTTGGCAGTGTCACAGAAGTGCCTTTCTGGTTGTTTTTGTTATGCCTTTGGAATAGTTTCTCCTCCCTGAGATTTCTTTTGTGGGTTTTGTCTGTTGAATCCTGTTGATGTCTTTTTTTTTTTTTTTTTTGAAGTAACTATATCTGCACATCACACCTGTCACATCCTGCCTCACATAGAAGAGCACACTGATTTCCCTGATGTATTGAAAACGCATCCCTGGATCTTTTCTCCCCCTTTTCTTTATTCCTGACTTGTGTCAGTAATTCAGGCACCATTTTTCAACTGGGATTTTTGCTGCTTATGTATCTGAACTTGCTGATTTAATTTGCTCTGTAGTGTAGTGTTTCTTGTTTGAGAGGTAGCTTGAATGCTTGTTTGGTCTCCTGACATTCAGATCTCTAGTTGGTCTTAGTTCTTCTACCCATCTAGGAGGTTGCTACTTCCACCCCTTACCCATTGCTCTGGCCAGCTGTCTTTATGCTCAGTGGCAGTTGCAACCGGTAACATTGCTGGAGGTTGCTGCTTGATACAGCATGCTTTAAGAGAATAATTGGGATTGCAACAGAGTATTGGTAAACAGCAAGGGCAAATATGCTTGCTCAAGAGTTGAGGCTTACTGATTTCCCAAAGAATCTACTCAGGTAATATTGATGTTGGTGTTATCCCTGTTATTAGTTAACATTGTGAGGTCTGAATTTTACGTAGGCAGTTATAAGAGGCTTTCAGAAGGCCTCTGATACATATGCTTACACAAAAGTACATAGATTGTACCTAGATATATGTATCGCTCTTGCATAATGTATGTTGTTCCTTTGTATTGAAGTGCTGATATTCCATAAGTGCTCATATTAACCCACAGTCTGCTAAGCCCACAGGCAAGGGTGTTGTAAAATCGTTTGAGTGCCAAATGGGATTTAAACTGTTGTTTTATGTAAGAGGTACAATAACTGTGGAATGAACAACTATTGATGTCCACACTATTGGCTTATCTCTTAGTTGTCACCAGTGTTACATAAAGCTGTAGCACTCAAAACATTTGAAAGGTGCTAACAGGCCACTGTTATTGCCAGATTTTTTATTTTCACTGTGGAAACTCTGCATAACATCTGTCTGTGCTAGAGATCTTAACGGGTATAGCATGTCTGACTTTTTGAAATTAGACTAAGACTCCATTTCTAGAAGTGTATCTAAATAGATGGGATTATGTTAAACTGAAAATCTGAAAATTTTAGTGTTAATAAATGTCTCTTGGCTGGTCCTACAACAGTGTAAGTGTTGCTGTAACATCTGTCTCTCTCACTTGCTTTCACTTACAATACAAAAAAATCAATCTCAGTCATGCTGTGGATTGTGAGTGCTCTGTGCTTATTGAAATTTTGGATGTTGTTTGTCATAGATCAGCAGAAATCCTTTTAATCTGAGAGAGCTCTAGTTTAAATATCATGCTTTTCCTGAGTGGTTATCTCTGTCAGACTGAGCTGTTAAAATGATCTTATTTTTATTTTAAAAAGTATTGGGTACTGACCGGTGCTGTAAGAGATGGTTTTAGAGAAAATAATTCAACGATAATACCTTGCATGAGTCATTAATCATGAGTCATGATCAGCCGGCAGTGGTATCCAATTTGTTTTCTAATCCCGCACTTGCGGATGCTCTTTATTACCATAGTGATAATATTAAAGAGCTGTTAATGCATATAACCACGCAGCTGAAAATGACAGACTCTTTTTTCATTGGAATAAAATTTCCATATCTTAAGTCTGTTTTGCTCTGTATATTTCTTGTTATGAGAAATCTAGTGATGTATAAAAGTAATCGAAAAAGTTTGTCGACAAGGAGTTAGGTTAACAGAACGGCCTGGCCTTTTTTCCCCCCCTTCCTTGCTTTCAAGCCAGTCACTGGGGCTTCCTAGAGAATTCCAGTAATTCTGTTTTCTTATGAGGATTGGGGACACTTTGTAATCATTAACAGTTGAGAGCAGATTGTTCAGTCTATGCTTTGAATGGAAAGCCTGCACTATCCATGTATTTAATGTTTGTTCTCTTCTGAGCTAAAACCAGTAGCTGGATGAAAAGTTTTACTGCATCAGTGTATGCTGAGGGATGACTATTGAGGTTTTAGAGAAAAGGGAAGGCTGTCTCCCTTCCAAGAGCCTGAAAATAAAAAGAATCAATTAGTTGAGAAATAAGCTTTGGAAACCTGTTTTCAGTCTTTAAATAAAATTTTACTAAGAGAAATGGTTTTAAAAGCTCTGAAAGGTAGTGGCTGAAGAGTTGCAGGCTATATTAGAATGTGTGTAGATGGAGAAGGCTTGGGTGCAGCAGCAGTTGGGGAATGTTATTTATGAAGTAATGAATCTTGTATTCAATTAGATTTTAACTTGATTAAGTTTTTGTTAGTTTTATTAGTTTTCACTTTAGAAAAGTTGATTGTGACAGATTAAAACCTTGTGTCTCAACAGATGTTAACAAATCATCCCTTAAGCTATTCCAGTGTAGATGACCTTATAATGTGCAGATTTGTGTAGACCTTTCTTGTTTCTTTGTGGTGAGCTTGTGACATAGTGTTCTGTTGTTGGTGGGTGCAGTGCAGCAGGACAGATATGAATCTGCTGGCAGAGATGGCTCTTCAAAATTTCCTGATATTCCTGCATATTCCTTCTTATCCCACAGTGTAGTAGCTCTGCAAACTCCTCATACATTTTGATGAGGACCTGCACCAACAAAAGCACTTTCCAGTTTAGTGTAGAATGGTACAACCAGTGACAAGATAAGTGTTCACCTGACAGAACCGCTCAATTTTTTCATTAAAAAACACATGCAGTTAGCTTAAAATGTGCATCTGCTTGTTCATGATTATATAATAAATGCTTTCAAAAATTTGAGTCTGTAAGATGCCCTGAACAGAGCATAAAATATAGCTGGCACCAAATTCTGTCTCAGTGAATGTGTTTGTGTTGTGGGTTCACCTTAGAAAAACTTTCCAACAGCTGCATGCCAATTTTGAAAGAATCTTGTTTCTGCCAAATATGATTAAGAAACAAAGAAGATCTCTTCCCAGTTATCAAAAAAAGTGAGCATCTTGTCTTCTGAATGGCTATATATATTAAAAAGGGGAAAAGGTAGGACTACTCTAGCAAATTGCAAGCTTCAAATATAAGAAACTTTTTTCAATGTCCTGTGATGGTTCTTTTGATTCCCACTCTGAGTGGCTTCTAAGGTGACTTTATTTTCAGATCAGCTGTTTCCAGTTCAGGCCTTACCCTGTTTCTTTCAAATCACTTGTAAACCCCTTTGTCCAGTAGACTCTTTTCCAAAGTAAATAAAAGGCGGCAGAGATGCAGAGCAAGAATAATATAACTCCTTTCTTCTTGTTGCCAGATATACAGTCATGCACTGTAGAGTGGAAACGGCAGAGGAATAAGCCGTAGGTATACTGGTACATAGAAATAGTTTACCTGTATAAAAGGCAAGTGTAATGCTCCATACATAATACAGTTGTACATCTCTCATCCTTTGGAGTACAGCACAGGATCTGGTGCTCAAGTGAGATCAACTCAAACTGCTACTGGAATGACTGGGAAAAGCACATAGCTATTAGAGGCTAGCAGACTAAGTAGTTTTAAGATGAAGTATGATAACTCTGTTAATGGAATTAGGTGACAGGAAACAGACTTCAATATAGGAATGGTCTTCAGTTCTTAATTTTTATGTTCCTCAAGTATTTCTCTTGTAAAGGTCTTGCTGTAATAGTTGCTTACAGAAAAGCAGGAGATCCAGATCCTGAAAACTAGGGGATTTGATAGGATTTTTCCTTCATCATAGGTGTAGTGTTTGGGGGTTTTGGTATTTTTTGAGGGGGGAGAGTGAGGGAGGGTTTGGAAGATTAATACAGAGTTAATTGGTCTAGCGGAATACGTAGAAGTCTTACTATAGTTCTTGAGCCTCTTTCCTGTTCTGCACACAAATACTTTTTCAGTAATTTTTACATGAAAACATTTTAAAAGATGCTAATTTCTGGCTTAAGTACTCAAGTCCATAAAACTCCTTCTGTTAACTTTGTGGGAGTAGATTCAAACTAACAATTTTGCAAATACAGCCTACAGTGATTTCTGTAGACTTTTAGGATTTCATCACCTTTATATCAGTTTCTGCTGTCCTACTTCCCTCTTTGTCAGTGGACTGAAGTGGATTTCAAAGGAAGCTTTCTGATTTTTTTCCCCCCACCCCATGTATTTCCAGAAATGGCCCTTCCTGTGTGGAAGAACTTACTTCATACTACAAAGGGAAGGATTCTACAGCAGAGAAGGTTGTCACTGTATAGTGGTGCTCATGGCTATAAGGAAGAACTGATAAAGAAGAAACTTCAACAGTTTGCTGGTGGATCCATCAACCTTTCCAAAGAAGACAATGGCATTGGAATACTTACCGTGAACAACCCAAAGTTAATGAATGCTTTTACAGGTATTAATTAGCTGGTGGGATTGCTGGTTGATTTTGGCTTTTTCCCTTGTTCAGTTACCCATTTTAGCATTTTGCCAAAAGAAAGCGAAACACTATGTCTTGCCATTCCTTAATTAACAGAATAAATGTTTAAGTTTTATTCAGATGTGCAGCAAATGTCCACTGTTCTGCATAGTAACTCCGCTATAAATGTCATAAGAATCTTAAGAAATTCTTAATGACACAGGGACTGTTTCACAGAATATGCTTCTCTCTCTTTTTTTAAATGTTAGCACAATTCTACCACTGTGCTCTTTCTTGTATCTCCTCTCATTTTGTCATCACTGCTCTGGAAACACTGAGGGCATTTTTATAGGTGTAAGAAGACACTATCTTTTTTTTGTAGGTGGTGTGGAAAGACTGAATTCACTTCTTTATTCTCTACTTACGTATATATATAACTATATATACATATATGCTTTGTTTTCCTGTAACTTAAACTTCTGTAGTTTGGTCTTTTCCACTCACCCAAACTCGCTTCCATTTCTTCTTCATTTGCCTTATGTCTTAAATATTAATGACTGGTTAAAGACCAGATGAGCTGGGTATTCTCAGCTGTTGTGGGTCAGTGATCTATTTAATATGCTTGTACACTGGATAATACTTATCTATTAAAATCAATTGCCCTATTTTATTAATCTTGTATTGTAAGAGAGGTTTTTGTTCTCCAAGACAAATATATTTGCTCTCTCTCCTTAAATGTCTAGAATATTCCAATTTATGTTGTTCTCTTCAGACATGAGTGGCACAGGTTCAGGGTCTGAATCTGCTTTAGCTGGAGCTGTGCAGAAACCTTTAAGAATGTATTTATCTCTTAATATTTTGAAATGGATAAATTTGTGTCATCTTGTTAATTCCTTTTTTGCTGCTCTGTTTTCCTGCCCAGTTCTCACCACTCCTTTGCTGTAAGCAAGTACATTTGCAACACTAACAAAGTGTAGAGACTCTTACCTTTCCACTAATGACTGTTAGCTGAAAGGAACCTCACAGAGCAACAGAATTGGTGGTAATGCCCCTAGATGTGTCTGCATTCTCTTTTGTTTCCCTTTAAAAGCTCATGTATAAAATCGTTACCTAACTCGAGAAGCTGAAGCTTAAAGATGTTAGCATAGGGATTGTCCTTCTGAATACCTCCCTGTCAGCATTCATGCTGTTACACAATCATAATGACATTGTAGTTTCCTCTTTTACTACAGATTGGTTTCTATTTTTGACTCAAAACAGAACTGTGCAATGTGCACCTTGTAGACTGCGTGGTCTTAGCTTATTTGTTGTGGAAGTTGAAAGGGGCATGAGCAATGAGATGTAATAGCAAAAGGAGAAAGAACAGATAAAGCCCAGTGTGCTATGGAGATCAGGTGTAATAAAAGCTTAACTGTTTAAACTAAACCTTAATAGAAACTTGCAACTGTTTTCTATGTGCTTGACGAAAGGGGCTCAGAATTGATAGGCTGAAGTGCTGAGCAGGTGCAGCTGCCGTTTAGGCAACTGATAGCTGTTCTTTGCCTACACAATGTTTTATATAATGTTAATGCACTGAAATCATATCACACATCTTGAGCACCCAAATTAGCAGATATTTTCTCTCTGGCTCAGTTAGTGGTCTGTAAAATAATCTCTCCTTATAGGACTGCAGTGAAAGTAACTTGTTAGTGTATGTGAATTAGGTGCTCTAGTAGCAAAGAGGACCTACAAAAACTGGTGAGGAAATAAATAGTTTTGTCTTTTGGCAGACCCTAATTAGCATATGACAAATGAGCCCTGGGATCAGGCAGTTCTGTTTTGCAGCAGTGTGTAGAACCCTATAGAGAGCAGTACTCCATTTTGCTAGGTAGTAGCCACAAAAATTTGCTGTGGAAAATCTTGCTATGGCAATTCAACAGATACTGCTTCTTTCTGCTGTCCACCTCTGCTAGAGACTTCTGTTGTAACAGGAGGGAGAGTAAATGCAAAATCAAGGTGGTCCCTTGGCCACTGCAGTTAATGGTATGGCATCTTAATTTATCTTGCTCTTCATTTCACTTTAACATTACTGTCTGTAAACTGTAGTTGCTGAGGAACAATCAAGAACCTGATCCTTTTCCTTCTTTTGTCTATCATCAAAACCCTTCAAGGAGCAGAATGGGATGCTCAGCCCCTAAATTGCCCCAGCAGGACGTGGTTGATTTCATCAATCAGAGCCTGTAGATACACTGACCCATCCCGCTCCACCCTGCAAATAAATTCTGTTGATTCTGTGACTCCAAGCTTCTGAATAGTGGCAGATGTGAATTTATGTATACATGTATGCTTCCTTTAGAAAGCTGCAAAATATCATTAAACTGTTGAGGGAGATTCTATTTTCCAGGTATTTACTTTACACACTTTTATCTCAAAGGAATTGTGTTTATTCTAAGCTTGAGCAACTCACGAAATCAAAAACAGAACAAAATTGTTGGCAAATTGCTAATGGGCAATATGGAGGTTGTTATGCCTTTTTTCTCTTCTTAATTGGAATCTGATAGCCACGTATTTGAAATGGTCTCTTTGGAAACAAATGGTAATAATGTCAGTTTAAGCCCGATGGAACCAATTTCAGCAGCCCAACTAATCACTGAACTAAACTTGAATGTAATATAAAAGAGAAGAACGCCAGCCTGTAGGAATTAGACAATAATGATGATAATTTTGTTTTCTAGAACTTACTTTAAAGCACTTCTTCTCAGATTATAGTTAAGATACAAACAAATTATTATTCCAAGTAGATTTCTCTAAATAGAGTATGAGCTTAAGTAGTATCAAATACTGAAAGACAAGACTGGCTGAATGAGGATTTGCTTTAGTGTTGTGTCCTCATCATTATATTAAACATCATGGACCGTATCTGTTGGTAAAATAATAGTTCAGTGTTGACAGGAATGGAAGGGATTCTGTGCCAGGAGAATGGGACAGGCTCTGGCCAGTGTCTCTTGTTCTGAGCTATTGCATGTAAAGGGCTCATATAGTTCCTTCATTTTTTCAGTTAACTAAATTTTTGGCTTGGAATAGTATGTGGAAAGACTCTTCAATACCTCACTGCTTTGTCTGTTAAAAGAACCACAAACAGTGTTTATGCTGTATTTGATGCTAGCAAAGCTTGGATGCCAGCCCAAATACCTTTCTAGTAAGAAGACTTGTCAAATAAGCAATAAGTGAAATCCACAGGGTTGATGCACACCTATTTGAACAGCATTTGCAGAAATGTTGCTGAGTGCACCATCAGTCTGGAAAAACATTTCAAACGAAGACCCACAAAAATCTTATCTAGGCCTAATTCTGCTCAGTATTTTTGTTCATGGTTTAGATGATGAAATAGAAGGTGAAGTGCTGAAATTTTCAGATCACCCCAAATTGGGAGAGCTTGCTGTTGAGATCTGTTATTAAAATTACTAGAAGCCTCTGCCCAAATTCAAGTGCAGATGACATCATATACCGAAGTCAATAGTACAGGTTTTATTTAACAGTAAATATGAGGTAGAGAGAAAGAGATAAAAAGAAACAGAAAAAAGGCGTGGGGGGAGAGAAAGAGACTGACAGAAAGACAGATTAAGTAGAAAATACCCCCTCTGTGTGGGAGGTTTACTACTGAGTCAGTTTGTGCAAGGGAGGCTGGGTGTTTACTCCCTCTCTCTTACAAGGAGGAGAGGTGTCGCCATCACAGACCCAAAAATTCTCCTCCTCCCCCCAAGAGCTGATTTTCAACACAGCTGCTGGGTTTGGATTTACATTCTTCTCCCCACCCTTGTTTACTTCTTCTCAGACCTGGGAAGATTTGGACCACCTTTATCTTACCTCAAGTTCCTATCAGATGGCTTAATTCACAGTCCAATTCTCTGAAATCCCTGGGAAGCGGGTTTAGATGGTCATCTTTGCAGTTTGCTACAGTGGGCAAAAGCCCTTCTTAACAATGCTTAAGTCATGAACCATAACATTTTAGTCGCTCCCACTTGCAAGATTATTCTTTGGAGCAGAGGTGTGGCATTTAAAGTGATCTTGCTACAAAGAGCTCAAGATAAACAAGGTGAAATTCAGTGAAAGCAAATGTAATGTGCTGCACACGAAAAGCATGGCCAAATTATAAGTACAGAAGGGAAAGGAACTGGCAAAACTGCAAGGATTTGTTAGAGCATCATAGTCTGGATTTGGTAGTGGGTAAAAAATCAACCCAGTGTCATTCTGGTATATAATATGTGATGTCCACTTAATTATTGGCCTCCTCAGAAACATTGTCAAAATGTGCTATTTCAGTGGCTGAGACCAAGCCTAAGGGAGAAGTGCTTGACTAAGTGTTCATTCTTGATAAGGTTCTGGGAAGCTTACTTCATAAGGAAGTGCAAGAAAAACAAACAGGAAGGAAAAATCAATCTTCTGTGGGTTGGCTGCTAACAGAAAATTTCAGAACAGGATGAGTCCTGTGCATGCAGGTATAGAGTTAAAAAAAGCAACATTCTTGGCAGAGGAGAGCTCTTGATGGTATTAATCTAAAGCACGTTTTTATCTGAAGAAGGTAGGCCTGTCCATCTAAGTTCTTGTCAAAGGAGGGTAAAGCTGAGTGTCATCAGCCTGTATGTAACTTGCTTTCTGAAATTAGGTTCTGTAAATGTTTTCTCTTAAGAATATAACTGGACAGAGTCATAGGCCTTTGGAGAAGAAGAGCTTTAAGTTAATTTAGGGTAAGCGCCATTGGTGTGGAAGATGCTGCTGTCTAGGATGAGCTTTAGGAACAGGAGTTTGTGGAGTTCCATCTCAGGAAGGGTACTTAAGTGAGTAAGTATATAAGAATATGGTGTTGAAGCTAGAAATAAAAAGCTAGTACAGTGACATACTTTGTAAAGGGAACCTTTCTATAAAGGTTCTGGGAAGGGAGTGAAAGATGTTATAAAAAAAATTATTATTTTTTTTTTTAATCTAAAAGACACTTTGCTCCTATTTTCAAATATATCTTTATTTTCTTTTGGATGGATACTTCTAAATGTCTTTGGCCTCCAACACAGTTTGGTCTTTGGCATTTTTTTAGGAATCTTTGTTGATGTTAACTGGTTATGCCTTGAGCCCACCTTGCACATGGTTCTTTTCTTTTTGCTGCCAATTCTTTGAGAGGGGGAAATGGCAGTAACTTCAGAATGACTAGTTGGACAGATCTGGATGGAAAGTAATAAATTCATGTGTCTGGAATGTATGCAATTGGATAAAGGAATAAATAAAATAGGGGTATTTTTGTTTACTTGTTTGTTTTGATTTTGCTTTGTTTTGTTGTTGTTTGTTTTGTTTAGGGTGTTTTTTTTTTAGTGGAACAGAAATATCATTCATACAGAATATCCTTCAGAATTTCAGGAAGTGCATCTTAGAAGAAAAAAATGTGTTACAGTGCTTGTGTGCGGGACTTAGAACGATACTTTCCCTTGTGATTTTAAGCCTGTCACTTCTTAACTCTGATTTGGTTTTGTTGGTGGAAAATGTAACACAAAACATGATGGTGATAATAATTTCCTGTTAAAAATTTTGCTTCTCCCCACTTGTGACAGGTACTATGATGGTAGAACTCCAGGAGAGGATAACTGAACTGGAAAACTGGAAGGAAGGCAAAGGCCTTATCGTCTATGGTGCAGGGAACACCTTTTGCTCAGGATCAGATTTGAATGCTGTCAAAGAAATATCCAACTCCCAGGCAAGTATTCATACACATCATGATTTTGGAGAAAAATGAGCTTTCTGAGAGTCTTTTTAGACAGAGGAATTGCACTACACTTCTACCGCAATTTTACATATCACAGAATGGAGCTTTTAATGGTTAAAAAAATGCTAGCAGCCCCTTTAAGCTGTGACTTAAGTGTTATTGTAATTGATTCATAACTCTAAATTCCTGCATATTCTTTTTAGACTTTTCTTTTAAAAATGTCATTTCAGTTTCTCAGAGCAATATATAGCGAATTTACACGTCAGATAAGCAGTGCTTCTGTAGTTTGATGTTTCATGTAATAATGTTTTATATACTCTAAAGTAAAAAAGGAAATTTAAGTGGAATGGCTGCTATTACAGAAAGATTTCTGTTTTGTCAAAATTATGTTTGGAACTGCATAAAATGGAAGGACAGATGCAATTCTTGTGCTGTACTTGAGTCAGGAAGGTCTTGTGTGTAACTATGGGGTTGAAGAGGTTAGGGGTTTGATGGCAATTTTTTGCTCATGTCACCCATTTGGCAACTTTCACATGTGCTGCAGTTCTTTTTATGGATAAATATGTGGTACCTGGCACTGTGTGAAATAGGACTTTGTCAGCTACAGGAGGAGGGGCTCTTCCTGTGCTGCTCTTAAGTCCTGGTTTGCAGTTGTGGTGACTGACATCCTGGTGCTTTTCTGTGGCCGCTTCAAGTTTCAGGATTTATCCATGCAAATCAAACTTTTAATTGGGCATTCCAGTATGAACACCAACACAAGAACTGGTTAAACTGGTATTTATCTTTAATGATGATTTTTTCTGTTGATGAAACTAAATGTTGTAGACCCCACAAATTCTACCCTGGTAAAATAAATAGGACAGTCCAGTTTTCAAAGGGTATAGGACACTTTGTTGTCTTTGGGGAACACCATGAGAGATAATATTTTCTTAATACGGAGATGTCACATTTATAGATATAAATGGTTTTGAGGGAGTTTTCATCTGGATTTTATAAGCACTGGTAATTAAAAAAAATATAGATGTATCTGTGATTTTTTTTAATTGACTTTTTTTTTTTAAATCTGCAATTTTCACCTTATTTAAACATTATAGCAACAGAAAAGGAGCTGAAACTGAGCAAGGCCAGTTCTTTTCTTATCTTCAGTCTAGACTTTCCTTCAGAGTTCTGCATTTAGTAAATCTCAGTGATTCTGCTTCCTTACATTTGGTATTCTCTCCGTATGGTTATAATAAATTACTTGGAGCCACTGCGGTGGCAGAGAGGGCTCTTGTAAAGATTAGAGTCCATAACAGATATAATGGGCAAAGTGAAGTGTATGGGTATTAACTTCAGTGAAAATTCTCTGCACAGAATCTGGATCTCATGCTAGTATTGAAATAAAGTCTAAAAGTCACTAGAAATGCTCCAAGAATAGTTAAACATAGTTGCTTGCTATTTCCTCTGGAGAGTTCAAGCTATTTATCTTTTACTGAGAGTTTCTTTATAATAGCAAGCTCCTAAACCATCTGTTTGGTGGGATTTAATAGTCTATATTAAATAAAGCTTTAATAAAATATGGAATAGCATTTGCTGTTCTTTAGTCTTAGTCTTCTCTCTAGATTGCTGCAGATGAGAGACTTTTTGTGGTTTCAGGTAAAGTTTTCTGTCCACAGGCATCCTTAAGTTAAAAAAAAAGTGAATAGCTTCATGCTGGTATTTTTTTTTTAATTTTTATTTTTTTGCAAGGCTGCTTTAGCCCATAGTTTTTACTAATTGCAGAAAATGCTTTTGTTCAACTAGTTGGTTGAGGGAAGATTGTATTTTTCATGATTTTAAATACAGTTTGCTTTTCCTTGTGGTGCAGGATAGGCAGAATAATGGCACAGAATGCTGAAGCATTTTCATGCCCCCTAGTGGCTCTTCATCCTCCTCTTCCTCTTTATTCTTCTCTTCCTCTCTTTGTTCACCTTCTCCCACGTTCAGTTGTTTCTAACTCTAAAACAATATCCCAGACCCCCTGCCTGTTCTTCTTTGCAGACTGCTAACATTGCATAACCAAATCACAAATGGCAAATGAGTAGTGGAATTTAAAGAAAAAAAATGTTTTTCTTACTATTTTTGTAAGCCTGGTTCCCAAGAGTGAGAACTTCATTCTGGACTGAGACTTGAAAAGCTGGCTAGCTGAAAAGCAGGAGTGGCTCTTGAAAGGACAGATGAGAGGAAGAAGGCACGAAGGGGAATTTCGCGTTCTTGGTCCCAGTCTAGAAGCCCTAGGACAGAGGTTCCCAAGCAGTAAGCTGTGGAGAGAGGACTTTGGAACAGTTGGAGATGATCTGGGTATACTGTTCTATCTGTCCTGAAAGTGTACCCTAAGCTCCTGCAGCAGTAAGAGCCAGTGTTACAGTTTTCTGCTTTATGAAGGTGACTTTCTTCTACCCTATCTCCCCTAACCCCACTGCAAGCTATTAATCCTTTTCTTCTGTATGTAGTGCATACTGTATTTTACCTCCCTTTCTGCGTATTAGATTTCTTCTTACTTCAAGGATGGTATTAGAACTGAAAATATAATTATTCCACTAGACTGCAGCGAATACTTCCCAGAGTATTTTATCTGAATAGTAGCTTTATTTTTCTTATCAGGAAGGCTTGAAAGGTTTATTGGCCAGGACTCAAACAACTGTGATTTATTTTTTTTCAGAGTGTTTTCTTTGCAGGCATTTTTGCTATGGGTTACACAGAAATCTCTCTACCACCTGAGAGTACGAAGACCTTTTGTCTGCTCAGTCATAACTGCGTTTATCAAGCTGGTCTGTTCTGGAATTAATCTTTAATCACCATTTTGGATTTTGGCATGAGTTGAGAGGGCCAGTTTCAATGCAAGGGGTCTGCTGTGATGAAGTGAAAAATTATGTTCTCTGAAAAGCTTTTATGCAGCTTCATCTTGACAGTTATCGTATGGGAACTGTGCAAGTCTGTATCTGAGAACTGGTACCTTGTATGTTTGTGTGGGTTTTGAAATTATCTATTAAAGTAACTATCATGAAGGATTTGAATGTTCTTTAATTCAGAATGGAGATATTGCTACTGTTCGTAATGGGTGTAGGAGATGGCTACAGTGATAACCAAAAGCCTCTTTGTAAATCAACACGTGCTGAAATTTTCAAGCAGACCTTTAGTGTAATAAAGCTGAATTCACTGGTTCTTGTATAGCGATTGTTGTGGAAGCTTATATGACTTATATGGCAGCCAGAGATCTGTACCTAAACACCATAATGCTGGTTGGCCTTGGGCAGAGTAGCACCTGAAATTGACCTACTGTTATTTCAAGGTCCTGTTCCAAAGATGTACTGGAAACTTACTGGGTATCCCTGGAGCCTGAGTCAGAAGCTTTTAATTCAGGCAGATTCTTTAACTTGCCAACCCCTGAAAAACATTGTTTTAGAAATTAATAAATTCCAAAAAAGAAATGTTTGTTGGTTTTGATTTGTTTGGATTTTTTTATTTTTAATTATGATTTAAAAGACATGCTGAAATTGTTTCCTGCTGGGTTTATTATTTCTATGGTTCCAAACGTAATTTTTTTTTTTTTTTAATCTGGGGTAAATGGTATATGTAGTTCAATTCAGTATGTATATGAACATGGTGGTAGGGAGTCATTTAACTCAGTTATTTGTCAAGTTCCTGGTTAATAGTAGATGTCTGAGAAAGTGTAATAACAGGGAAGGCAGATAGATAATGATTAGGAAGGCAGATAATGTTCTCTTAGTCCCCAGCAACTTGTGACTAAGACTTCTAGAGCTAGAGGTGTTACTTTCTATGTAATAACCTTTTTCCGTTTTTTCCATCACGAGTTTATCTAGTTCTTCTTGAATTCATGTAGAGGATGTAATGCCCTGCTGCCAAGTTCTCCACATTTTAATTACACGTTGTCGGAAGAAATATTTGGTTTAACGTAGCAGCAACTTACTCTGTTTGGAGCCCTTTAGTACTTTAGTCCCTTTAGTATGGATTAGAAGGGAACAATTCTACCTAACTGACTATTGGTTACAAGGTGAACTAAAACATAAAGGATGAGAGAAATAAGAAAAATCTTCTTTCTGTTTTGATTTTGGGTTTTTTGTTTGTTTTGGTTTGGGGTTTTCTATTTGTTGGTGGCTCTTTTTGTTTATTTGGGTTTTTTAGCTGAGATGCTTTTGGCCCAAACAATAAAAGATTCAGTTGGTAAATTGTATCTTCTAAAGCTTTATGGATTTGGAACAGAAAAAAGTATGCAGTGCGCTGTGGTCCTGCACAGACTTCAGAAGCTCAGATTTGTGGGTGTTTAACTTGAAATGAGAATAGGAAATTCAGAGGAAAGAATGTAAAGTTTCACATCATAGAAATCCAGTATTGCAGTTACTTTAATGGTGGTTTAATTATAACTGAAATTTATATAAATTGATTGAGGCCTGATTTTATTTTTTTTACCTGATTTATACTCGTTCATAGTGGGGTTGGACCGGAATTTGAGCAAGATGAACCTAAGAGAAAAAAGACAGCTGATGTAAATATAAAGAATACTTACTCCTGTCTTCTCCATCTGTGTGTTTAATTGCTTCATATTAAGATCACTTAATGTTCTTTAATTTCCTATTCTTTGTAGGACGGGATGAATATGTGCATGTTTATGCAAAACACCTTAACCAGACTTATGAGGTAATATATTTTATTTACCCTTCTTTATGAAGTAATTATAAGTATTGGAATGTATTTTAGCTAACTCTTTAATGAGATGTGTAAAGTTTAATACATAGTTTTAAGTACGTAATTTTGAATCCCAGACCTTGCATAGA